GTGTTGCATGGGTTTTAGAGACTGGTTTGCATAAAATAAGTCAAAGCAAAAGCTTTATTTAAAGGAACTAGTTGGGATGGCAAGGATCACACACACAAGACCACCAAAACTCCCATATTTCTCATCCTTCTAGTTTGAGGAAGGTAACTTTATTTGTGCCATTATTTTTATTTAGTAATGTGATTTGAATTTAAGAATCGAAGTATAGGAGTTAGGTATGTATATACACAAGAATTGATGTTGTTTGTTAAAGTGGAATTGTTCAATTTGGCGGTGATGTAGAATGGCATGTTATTAGTAGAATTTATGTTGGTTCGTTAAAGTGGGAGGGTGCATCGATCGGGTCTATTATTCAAAGTGATGATGATATAGAAGGGGATGTTATTAGTAGTATTCAAGTTTGATGGTTGAAATAGAGGAGTTAATCATGCCATGTTCAAATTGATGGTAATGTGCAAGAGCGTGTCAGGGCTTGGAGCAGTTGGCGCACACATGTACTCAATGACGAGAGCCCACATCAACGTGCACAAACACGTATATGTGAGTGATCTCTATAGTTAGTTCAATTTTTTTTTTAATAATTGAAAGCTTGAAATCTATTTTTATGTTACGAAATAGTTTTTAATAGCCAAGATGACGATGTTCCGTTAAAGTTCCAAACTTCGACAAAGTTCCGGTGAAGCTCTGACAAAGTTCCGGTGAAGCTCCGACATTCCTTTTCCATGCTAGGATGAAGCTCTCCATTGATGTAGGAGAGAATAAGTCTTGCTTCATGCTAGCCACATCCATTGATGTAGGAGAGAAAAAGTCTTGCTTCGTGCTAGCCACACTCCTACTCAAGAAGCTCTCCTCACACACTCAAAGAATGATGGAGGAGGAAAGATTGCTTTTTATGGAGGATATAGAAGGAGAGGAAGAAGAAGAAGAGGAGAGTTGTGAGAAAGAAGCCCTCACTCTCACCTTTATCTCTACCTCTTTACCTCAAGGTCTTCAAGAAGAAACCATAAATCCAAGGAAGAAGAGTTCAGCTCTTGGAGGAGGAAAAAAGTGTAAAAAGTGTTGATAGAGGAGAATAAGGTGGAGAGGTGAAGTTAAACCAGCCTCCCCACCGAAAATCTCCGAAGTGCCTCTTAATTAAGTAAAAAATGGCTAATCAAGGACATTTAGGGCATGCAAAAAAGGTTTAATCCCCCCAGCCTTTTCATAATTTCAAGGAGATCTCCTCAAGTCCAAGGAGGGCCTATAAATTTTGGTCCAGGTGACATGCCTCCCCAAGGCTGCCAGGCCAAATATTGAAATCTAGGCAGGTTGACATGGTCACGTTGGGCTTGGGCGTGGTCACGCTGTGATGGAATTGCTCCAGGCTTATTGTCTTACATTTTGGTCACGCCATCTTCGGGCTTGGTTACATCGAAGATAACCTTCATGCGACCGCTAGAAGACCAGTGTGATCACATCGTCCCACAACGTAAAGCATAATTTCATCGTGGGATCTATCTTGTGGTGCGGTCACTCTACCTTCCGGTGTGCTTATGCCGAAGACAGCCCCCTCAAGCCTTATGTGGAGTTAGGCGTGGCCACTCCCGATTGAGCGTGGTCACGCCAGACCCTTATGGATCATTTTTCACTCCAGGAGTCTGTTAAGCACATTTCACAACACGAAAAACTCTCCATGACCGGAATAAACCACATAGGTCTTAGAATGATCATTTGGCTTGCCCTTAGAATGGGGAATCGTTATGGATCAGTGGTAGTCTCTATCGAGCATGACTAGGATGGAGTGACTCTAGTCCGGAGACGACGTGCATCTGGTAACGTCCCAACGGATTCCTTGAGCTACAGGAGGGCACGTGTGAGCGTCGCACGCTCCCACAACATTACAGGGGCATCCGACCAACGCATAACACAGTGATCACATACACAGTGATGTAGATGTATTCAGATCATTATCCCGCATGTAACTTTTTTTTATCAAGACTGTCCCTATTTTTATTCTTTTAAACATGAAATATAGTTTTAATACTTAGGTAAGATAACATATGTAAAAATTAAATTTTAGATGTTAGATGAGTAAATAGATAAAAATAGAGTGTTATGCATGTAAATATTCTTTTTTAGGTTAATATAATATAAATTTAGATTAGATATTTGAAATTTATATTTTTGATACAATTAGTGAAAATCTTATAATATTTTTAAGAAAATGTTGACTTCATATGCCTCATGCTAAGAAAATAAAGAAATATTTGTTGCTTTATTTTCTTAATATA